ATAGGGAGGGACACTGAGCTAAAAGTAGTGGCCAAAAGCAAGAGACCTCTTTTAACTTGCTCATGCGCGGGGGCACTCTCGTCTCTTTGTCATGGCAAGGCATGTCCCGGCCACATGGCCTCCATGTGGAAGTGATTGAATCTCCTAATGAAGACCACCTGGATGCATGAAAGCAAAGGAAGGAAGCCAGCTTGACTAGGGATCATACTGAAAGCCCGGGCGAGTGGCCAGTCTTTGAAGGCTAGAAGATGAAGGTAGAAGGGGTGCGGAAGGAAGTGGTCTTGTGAGCCTCATTTTGTTGTGGTGGTTTTCCAGTCATTACAGGCATTGCCTCTTGTGTAGACTCATTAAGGGTTTCATTCTGAAGCGTTTATGAAGAGACACGAGGCTTGTCTGAGTATGGTGGCGTCCGTGTTGTCATCAGCCAGGCCACATTTGTCTTTAACTAACTTTAAGAGTAAGCCACTGGCCTTCTTTCTAGAGGCTTTGCCTCAGTGATGTTTGAACTCTAAGATTTGAAGCCTTTCAAGTATAGAGGAGCACTGTTAATCAGAACCGAAACGGACAAAAGGAAAGAAACCCGTGGCACTGATGAGATTTAAGAATATTCATTCTGTTCCTGCTGAAACAGATTTTTCGAGCAATGGTTTGTTTTAGGTTGTCACGGGCCAATTTAATCCTGTGGAAATAGATACATTGATGGCTGTTTTAAGAAAAAATATGTTTAATTAGATTCTCTTTCTATTTTGAGACCTATAATAGTTTAGTACTATACAAAAAAATAAACAAAACACAGGAAGGAATGTGCCTAGTGGTGATATTTCTTTATGGTAGCAAATCAGCAGCTTGGATGATAGGAAAAATTAAATCTAGGTTTCCTCAAAGTGCATCAGATGCTGGTGTCATCCTTTGAGTGAAATGAATGTAATTTACATTTGCTTTCTCAACAGTGACTATGGGAGATCAAAATTTCTAAAGCAAAATCTACCTTCCGGGGGCTGGAGCAATAGCACAGCGGGTAGGGCGTTTGCCTTGCATGCAGCCAACATGACCAATACAGGTTCGATTCCCAGCATCCCATATTGTCCCCCGAGCACCGCCAGGAGTGATTCCTGAGTTGCATGAGCCAGGAATAACCCCTGAGCATCGCCGGGTGTGACCCAAAAAGCAAAAAAAAAAATCTACCTTCCTTTCAAAAACTGCACACAGACACACACAGATATACCCGCCACCTCCTTATGGGACTAATGTCCAAGTTGAGTTTTATTGCAGTATGGATTAATTGAAATAGAATAATATACATTCTGGTTTGGAGTGGTTGTTTATTCAAAATATGCATTGTAGTGAAACCTTCTCGAATCCAATTTTCAGTACAAAAAATAATATTACAATCAGAAGCTGTTTTGGACTATAATCCTTATAAAGACTACCTTCACAGTGAACTAGAAGAAATCGTCTTTATCTCTCTTCATGCTGTAAGGCAACAGGATCCGTTTGAAACTTTATGCTGTTTCTAAACACTGTTGGTGTGTAAGATCTTGTTAATACATAGTTAAATACAGAATGTTGTGTGGTTGTGTGCCTGCATGCACGTGTCTGTGTAGTTGCAGTCTCGGAGAGATATTTTCCTTTTTTTCTTTTTGGGTCACATCCAGCGATGCACAGGGGTTATTCCTGACTCATGCAATCAGTAATTACTCCTCATGGTGCTCAGGGGACCACATGGGATGCTGGGAATAGAACCCGGGTTGGCCAAGTGCAAGGCAAACGCCCTACCCACTGTGCCATCACTCCAGCCCTAAGATAGGTTCATTTTTAAAAACATATAGATTAGGTGGAGAAACTGTGTCAGAAAGAAGAGACAGCCAGGAAGTCAGGGCCAATGACTGAGGTTGAAGGCAGGATTATAGCCAATAAACTAGCGGTTACCCCTCACCTCCCTTAACCCCTGATATCCTTCACCCCAGCAACAGGTCCACTTCTACACAGCTCTAGTCTGAGCAATCAGAAGGAAATTTTCAAGAGGAAAACATTCCTTTTCTGACTCAGAACTTCAGCCCCAGAAATAGACAAAAAGATCATTAAGCCCCAGCATGAGAGTTTCCAATGAACCAAGCCCAGAAGATAAGCGCTCTGCTCAGCAGCGGGGGAAGCTTGCTAGCCTCCACGCCTGCTACTTTCAGGCTCAGCCTGGCTTTGGCGACCAGACATCAAGTCAAACAGAAAGCGAGGGTCTCTTTGCAGTTTCCAGGGATAGAGTCCAGCTGCCACTGAGGCGGAGGTTAGGACAGGCTAAAACATAGCGGGAATCCTTTAGCTGGAAGAATGCAAGATATTGCCCAGCCCGTCAGTCATCTGATACTGTGTGAAATTTACCCTTGATCTTTTCAGAGGTAATTCTAGAAGTCTTCATCAGGCAAAACCAGATCCATTCCAGATGGTGCCCTACACAGCTAATTACCCTGGAGAATTAGACCTCGTGTCCCTAGGGGGCTGCCCTTGCTATGTGCTTTCTTCAGGGTCTTCAGATTGATTGTCAATCTTTGGCCTTGGGCTGCACTTGATGTCACAGGTCTCTCTGGTTTCATTTCTTTGTACACAGGGGAGTTTGCTTTTCCAGCTTGGACACCATCCTGATGCAGCTTGACCTTCTAACCCATTTAAAATCACCCACCAGACTATTGAAAGCCCAGTGTGTCATTACATGAGACATCCATATGAAAAGGAACAATCTAATTTTTTTTGCTTTTTGGGTCACACCTGGCAATGCACAGGAGTTACTCCTGGCTCTGCACTCAATAATTACCCCTGGAAGTGCTCAGGGAACCATATGGGATGCTGGGAATCAAACCCGGGTCGCCTGTGTGCAAGCCAAACGCCCTACCTGCTGTGCTATCGCTCCAGCCCCCAGGAACAATCTATTGATAACTTTATTTATAATTCTCTATTCCAAGGTTCAGTGTCCAAAGCTATACTTTGACCAAACTAAACCTGCCCAGAGACAGATTTATGAAAACTTGATAAGTTTACTGCAAATTTATTGGTATGCATGCAGCTTTCCATTATGAAACATCTTTCAGTAAATATTTTTGAACACCTACCATGCAGTAAGCCCTTAGGATAGGCTCTGGGTGAAAAGGGTGAAGATGTTCACATCCCCCTGCAGCTAATTTAGTTATTCTGTGCAAGATATCTTTATGAAGGATGGTAGGTAATTATGCAGATAATTCAAAACCTCCTTTGTACCCCTTCCTAGTTACTGATCTTTTACTTAACAGATGCATTTTTGCCTCGTTTTCTGTCTTCCTTCATTTGCTCAATATTATGCTTGTGCAATTCATCTCAGTTGTTGCACAGAATTGAGTTGATTAATTCTGCTTGCTGTATGTATTTCATTGTATAAGTATGCTATAATTCATTTGTCTAGTCTCTCTTTTTTTTTTTTTTTGCTTTTTGGGTCACACCCAGAGGTGTTCAAGGGTTACTCCTGGCTCTGCGCACAGGAATTACTCCTGGTGGTGCATGAGGCACCATATGGGATGCTGGGAATCGAACCTGGGTCGGCCATGTGCAAGGCAAATGCCCTACCCGCTGGACTATTGTTTCAGTCCCCCTCCAGTCTCTTATTAAAGGAATTTGGGGTTCTCCAGTTTGGGGCTGTTACTAATGGTAGCACTAGTACGATTCATGTACATATCACTATGCAAACATTTTTGTTGGGGATATACAGTGAGCTGTACTGTATAGTCATAGATTATGCATACATTCATCTGTAAAACATACTGCCAAGGGGCTGGAGCAATAGCACAGCGGGTAGGGCATTTGCCTTGCACGCGGCCAACCTGGGTTCGATTCCCAGCATCCCATATGGTCCCCTGAGCACCGCCAGGGGTAATTCCTGAACGCAGAGCCAGAAGTAACCCCTGTGCATCGCCGGGTGTGACCCAAAAAGCAAAAACAAAACAAAACAAAACAAAAAACATACTGCCAAGCAATCTTTAGGAGTTTATACCAAGTTAGAGTTAAAGTACGAAAATTCCTGTTACTCCAGGGGACAGAGAAATGATATCGAGAGTTTAAAGCCTTGCCTTGCACTGAGCCCAGTTCAACCCCTGGCTCTACCAGGAGTGAGTGACTCCTGAGCACTGCCAGACATGGCCCCCAAGACAAAAACAAAAGTTTCAGATCTTTGACATCCTTTCCAAATATGGTGTTCTTTTCATTTGGGTTATTTTTCCAAAATACAATGGACTTTCAGCTGCCATTTCAGCTGCCATATTAAAAAATGTAAGTTCTATTTAAAAAAAGTAGGACCACTAGGATTTCTGATAGACAATGAGGCATAAAATTTATACCAACACTGATAATCTCTTGAATTTTGGTGTATGTCAGTGCTTTAGAATAGTATCATATTGAACTGCAAACCCTGCTTAGCTGTGCCGAAATCAGAGCCACTGTTTATGTAAAATCTTGTGCAAGTTTTCATTTCTTTTTACATTTGAAGTGTGGCTTTTCCAAGCCAGCAGTGAATAGCGGGCCATACCCCTACCCCAGAGGGTCAAGTTAGAACAAATATTTCAGGGCCCCTTTATTTTTGCAATTTCCAATTGGACATGACTTCTGTAAAATGGAGGGACCCACAAAATATACATCTGAACGTGAAATGACCTACCATAGCAAGCAGAATATTGGAAGTGGAAAAAAAATGTTGGAGTAAACTACTGGCCAGAAAACTATTAATGTCAGACCATATTTGAGAAATGGCAGCTGAAAGTCCACTGACATCCTGAAACTACCTTTCACACCACTGTTAAGGTAGGAAGATAACATTCGGAACAAGAGAATCAAGAGGGGACTATATTGATCTTTCATCACCTACCCCCTAGGACTCCCTGGAGAAGAATTGCAAGTGTTGTGACTCCAGAGTCCAGATCTATGACTGTTGAAGTAAAACCAGATCTCATTTAGGGAAGATGCTAACAGTGTCTCTTTCCTTTCAGTCCAGGGTTTACACACGCACACCAACCTTGTATTTGGACTTCAAATTGGACCAAGGAGCAAAGCATTCACAACCGATTCCTCAAGGTAGGATGGGTTCTGGGATGCAGTTATCATTTCAGGGGAAAAATATCAAGAGGCCACTTGATCTGGTATGTGATTGTTTCTGACCCTCTGCCTGAGCTTTGTTCATGCTTAGTTCTGTCAAAATTAGCAAATACTGTTGGGGAGGAACAGATAGCTCTGAAAGTCAAAAGGAATACACAACTGTTAGAGCTTGACCACCCAGCCTGCCACCACCTCCACCTTTCAGATATAAGCACTGAAGGCCCACCAGATTAGTCAGGTAGCACATAACGGCGTTTTGACGTTAGTACCTAGTAACATTGCAGTACACCCTGCCGGGTTCTTGGACTGTGGGAACAACAAGAAGCCACGGGCTACCCATTCTTTTTCCAGCATGCCCTCCTGACTGTCACTGTCACAGTCACTGTCCTCCCGTTGTTCATCGATTTGCTCGAGCGGGCCCAGTAACGTCTCCATTGGAGACTTTTGTTGTTACTATGTTTGGCATATCGAATACATCATGGGTAGCTTGCCAGGCTCTGCCGTGCGGGTGAGATACTCTCGGTAGCTTGCCGGCTCTCTGAGAGGGGCGGAGGAATCGAACTCGGGTCCTGACTAATTATGCCAGCAAATTGAGAAGCACTGACTAGCATCACTCTGTGATATTTGCGCAACAGAATTGCCTAACCATGCTTTTCTCAGACCATCCCCAAAGTTAAGTGATACATGACCGTAATTTCTTGTTCCTGGGTACACAGAGATTTGGGGAGCAAGGCAGTATTGTTTCCTGTGCCTCCTGATTTCCCTTGCCATTCTTGATTTGCAGTGTTCCTGATGTTAATCTGATCTGTATTGTGTATGTTTTCATTTCATTTAACAGAAAGTAAAAGGAGTTTAGAGTTTTCATTTTATTAGCTTCTTCACAGTGCTGGGGATTCGATCTAGGTCTCATGAATGCAGGCCATCCATTTTACCAGCCTTATTTTATTTTATGCTTTCATTAAATAAAATTTTATAAACCAATGTCCATTTTGAATTATTCATGTGCACATGCACTTTTTTTAAAATCAGAGATGAGGTATTTCTTTACAAAGGTAGTATTGTGGAGGACTTACATTTAATTCTAGACATTTATATTCAATTTCAAGTTTAAAAATGGTTACACCTGAGTCTTTAGACATCAACCTTTGATTCAGTACTTTCTTCTGTGATTTTTTCTCATGATGGCTATTTTTAGTGCATTTGAAGGGTGTAGATTGGGCTGGAGAGATGGTACAGCAGGTACGGCATTTACCTTGCATGTGAATGACCCAGGTTCAATCACTGACACCCCATATAATTCCCCAAGGCCCGCTAGAGTGATTGTTGAGCACAGGGCCAGGAGTAATTCCTGAGCATTGCTAGGTGTTATCTAAAAACAAAGGAAAAAAGCAGTTTAGATGAACTCAATCCTATGCCTTCCTAATTCTAATCTGTGTGATTGCATATAAGCTTTAGCTTTAGTGTAGTGATTTTAAAATTTTTAGTTTATGTTTGCTTTCTTCTGATCCCTTTTCCTTCCTCATCTCCCCATTGCAATGTCTCTCTGTACAGTCCATATCCAGGATATCGCCCAGGTATATCCTTGAATTCCACCCTGCTGTATTTTTTTTATTCTTACCTTTCTACACTGAAGAGTGGATGTAAATATATGCATGTACAGAGTTCTTGGGCTGGAGCGATAGCACAGCGGTAGGGCGTTAGCCTTGCACGCAGGGAACATGGCCGACCCAAGTTCGATTCCTCCGCCCCTCTCGGAGAGCCCAGCAAGCTACCGAGAGTATCTCGCCCACACGGCAAAAGTCTGGCAAGCTCCCCGTGACGTATTCAATATGCCAAACACAGTAACAAGTCTCACAATGTTACTGGGCCCACTCGAGTAAATTGATGAACAATGGGAAGACTGTGACCGTGACAGAGTTCTTTGGCTATGGTCTTACTAAAGTGAAATCATTTACAATATGTTTGCCTCTTGCTTTTGTGACCTGAACAATATTGCATGGAAATCCCTCCTCGTCTACCTCTGTGTCTCTCCCCTAGCAATATCTGCTGTCAACCGTTGTCTGTGGTACATTCAGTTATTCCCATCAACAGATACTCCCTTTACCCCCAGTGCTTGACTACTGCACACCAGGCTGCAGTGAACATCCTAGTACATCTGTCCTTCCATGTGGGGACAAGTTTCTGTGTATAGACACAGGCCGAAGCATACCTAATTTTAAAAGATGCTGTTAAGCTACGGTTGAGAAAGGCAGCCCTATTTGCTGCAGGAGTATAAGAAAGTACCACCTGCCACCACTGCTGAATCTGGTTCATGGTTGGTTTTCATTTGCTTGTTTTTGCTCTATTCTGAACCACAGTCTGCCTTATTGCCTTGTAAAAGGAGGTTTATTGGTCAGTTTATAAACATCTGTTTCTATGTGATTTTTCTCATTATGAATTTTCAACCTCAGATTTGTTTTCAAACACATTTTTGGAGGGATACACAAGCCAGTAATTTAGAAGTGCGTGCCTATAGGGTCACTTGAAGCAAGTCTATTGGAAATTCCACTATGAAGAAGAACTTGTCTTTTCTATCCCTTCTGGTTACAGCGTACCTTCTCCTTTACACTATCTCGCTCTCTCCTTCTCTTACAGTATGTTCGCCTCTTGCATTTGTGAAGAACCCAATGCAGGAAACCCAAATGCTGACATTTCTGTTTAGTAGCGGAAAAGCAACTCAGGTGTTACAAAGCATTTACCAGTCACGCTATTGATCCTACTCACTGCTTCTAAACAAACATACTGGGTGGTAAAATTATCCATTTTGGAGGGGGGCTCCCAAGTGGTGCTCCGGAAGGCCCATGACCCTACCTGCCTTTCTGGGTTCTTACCCAACAGGGTTAGAGGTTCAGTGCAAGGGTCTACATAGGCCATGTTGCTTGACATGCAGTACCAGGGGATCTCAAGGGCTGCACTCAGCAGAGCTCAGGGGACAATCATGTGACACCAGAGATTGAATCTGGGTCAACTGCATGCTCGGCATGTGCCCTAGCTATAGTACCATCTCCCGACCCTGCTTTGTTTTATTTTCAAGTCCTTAAAGGTCACCTTTTGCCTTTTTTGGTTATTTTTTATTGAATAATTTTCTTTTGGCACTCTTTGCTAGTTACAAGGACCAGAGGCTATTCCAGGTACATTCATTCTTGCGGTTCACCCAGAAGATCTTTATTAAAGGTCTGTTGACACCAAGCTAGATCTTGATGATAATATTTAACTTGTGCCACTAAAGAGGTTCATAGGTCACAGAGAACTTATTGGAGACAAGCAACAACAAATACCGAACAGTAAAATATCAGTGCAAGGCAGCACACATTTAATTGTGATAACAGTAGTTGACTGTATTTGCATAAGGAATTCAAGGAGGGGAATCTATGTATATTGAGAACAGGCAAGAGGGAAATCCAGTTTGATGGTAGAGAAAATGAGCATTGCTCTGGGAATGAAATCCAAGTTTCAGTCAATTTTTCTGGTCTCAAGTTTCTTGAATGATCAAGCTAGATAAAAATCGCCATCCCTGGGGCTGGAAAGATAGCACAGCGGGCAGGGTGTCTGCCTTGCACGCGGCCGACCCGGGTTCGATTCCCAGCATCCCATATGGTCCCCTGAGCACCGCCAGGAGTAACTCCTGAGTGCAGAGCCAGGAGTAACCCCTGTGCATCGCCAGGTGTGACCCAAAAAGCAAAAAAAAAAATCACCATCCTTTAGGAAAGGGAGTAGAGGAAATAGTATGAGGTTCTGGGTCTTACTGTTTTGGACCAAATTACTCCAGTTTTTAAGCATCTACTTCTTCATCTGAAAATGGAGACTAGATGAGATAATCCATATAAAGAACTATGCAACATATGATTAATCGCTGCCCCAAGGTCTGGTATGAAACCTAAAACCTTTGACAAACTCCTAGGTGATAGGGTGAGTCTTTTATTCATAAACCCCCCTTTTAACTATTTGAGTTTCAGCTAATGAAGTGGCCGTAGGAAAGGGAACTGCCTGTCAGAGCAATCAGTCTTATCATTGAAAGGCTGGGAATTTCCACTTACACATCAACACGGCATTGCCCATCTGTGGGTGAGCTACCAGTCACCACTAATCCTTCCTATCCTCTGGAAGAGGGTACTTAAGAGTGGCATAATAACCAAAAGTCAGTGATTTAATTAAGCATGCTTACAGTATCAAGTCTTAATAAAATTCCAACCAAAAGTGTCAGCACTCTGGGTGAACACCTATAGTGCCACAAAAGTGGTGTGCCCCCACTATCAGGGACTTCTGTAAATTAGGACCTTTTGGCCTAACCCTCTATGTCTCATCTGTCTGTTGATCTGTATCTGTTTTTTTTTTTTTTTTGCTTTTGCTTTTTGGAGACCACACCCAGGAGTGCACAGGGGTTAGTCCTGGCTCTGCACTCAGGAATTATTCCTGGTGGTGCTTTGGGACCATATGGGATGTTGGGGATTGAACCTAGTTTGGCTGCATGCAAGGCAAATGCCCTACCCACTGTACTATTGCTCCGGCCCCCATGATCGGTATCTGTGGAGAAGGGAATTTTGTTGCTGTTTTGGGGCCACACCCAGTGCAGGTTAGGTGTTACTCTTGGCTCTGTGCTCAGGAATTACTCCTGGCAGTGCTCTGGGGACTATATGGGATGCCAGGGATCGAACCTAAGCTGGCTGCATGCAAGGAAAGTGCCCTCCCCGCTCTACTATTAATTCACTCCAGCCCTATTGATCAATTTATTTTTGCTTTTTTTGGGGGGGGGTCACACCCAGCGATGCACAGGAGTTACTCCTGGCTCTGCACTCAGGAGTTACTCCTGGCGGTGCTCAGGGGACCATATGGGATGCTGGGAATCGAACCCGGGTCAGTCGTGTGCAAGGCAAACGCCCTACCTGCCGTGCTATCTCTTCAGCCCCTGATCAATTTATTTTTTAAAAAACTGATAAAAG